GAGTGTAAATCTCTAGCTCTTTATTCCTCAAATATGTATGTACTGGCACCATATGGAATTTAATATCTAGACTGATTTAATTATTTGTGTTTAATTGGCAGGCTAGGCACTATCATCTGTATATTTTTATCATATATCATGTTCAAAACTCTTTGCCAGAATCTAAAATAAATACTAGAGACAGAGGCCATTTGGAGTCAATATGTCAGGTTGCTCAACACATTTACTCAAGGTTGCTGGCAGCTCTTGCTGTATGGGTGTGTTAATTCTCATTGGTGGAGAACGTAGTGTGGAGGCTGTCACACTAGCTCCAATTGGCTGTGAGTGCAGGAAGCATTCAGAATTCAGGAAAAATAAATCATGGACTAATGTTTCACTTTATTTAGAGACAAATAAAATTAAAGGAATGGGCCAGGCAGCTATTAAATGAGTTCATTTAATGCATTTGCTATTTTAACACGCTTCTGCAACATGAAGGAATTATGGGATGGAGAGGCAGGGACAAAGAAGATTGCTAACTAAGACAGCCTGCATGCAGTTATGGTTTAAATACCTGGGTTTTACCCTTTTCTGAGATCTTTTTACAAATCCTACAAAGCTTAACTCCTCTGAGTTGTAGGCTGTATCTTAGTCCTCAGAAGGGACTCTCTCAGGTTTTAAAAGAGTTCTCCAAATCACCATTGCCATTTGACAAATGTGAAGCCCTGAGACTCCACTTCCTTCTGAGCCAGGCAGCTCAATCAACTCCCTGTTTTATCCACTCTTCACCTGCCGCCACTCCTTGGTTAAATTTGTATGGTTGATAAGGGAAACAACAACAATGGGACCAATAGGACCACAGTTGTTTAATGATTTTTCCCTTGAATAACTATAGATAAGAGATTTTCTTACTGGGAAAGTGGAGGATGTGTTGCAAAGAGAAAAACAAGGCTATAAAAAGAAAATAGATGCCTCTAAGCCTGGATGGGTCCATTACTCCGAAAAGAAAATATATTCTGAGAACAAAGCAAGGACAGGTCATGCTTTGATTGGTTGCTGTGCCTGGACCCTGACCCCCTCCAGGAGTTTGTCTCAGGAATGCTGACCATTCTCAGGTCTCAGGAAATGGCAGAGCTGGGTTTTAACACTATTGAATATTAACTACTTGTTATTGGACTTCAAGATCCTGGAAGGAGACACACAGACCACAGATCCTGCAGCCCTTCTCCTGCCCCACTTCCCCCTTGCATGTAGCCTTTCTTCCTTATCCATATATAATCAGCTGGTTAGTAGGGGAGGTTAGAGCAGAATTTACAGAATGGCCTGCTGCTCTGTGTATACTGCCAGCATTATTGGAATAAACGCTCATATATGATTCAACCTTGTTTCTGCTTAATTTGTGCCCAGTTTCAAAATGGCAATGGTGAGTCTCTCACCTCATATGGAACTGAAAGAAATTATTGAGACAATCAGCCAAAATCTTCTGTACTTGTTTTGCTCCTTGATGATGTTAAAAATATTTAACTCCTCTAGTTCATTATAGTTTCATTGTGTCTTGCTAAATATTTGTCAATAAGTTTAAATTCCTGAATCAAAAGAAATATAAAATTGGCATAGTGGGTATGTTCAATCCAGATACATCAAACTAAAGACTTGAAAGCATTTTTCATCATTGAAGTAGAAATCTAACTAAATAATCAAAACAGCAATGCATCGTCCAGTTGGTGTGCCTCAGTGGTTAAGCATCGACCTATGAACCAGGAGGTCACAGTTCAATTCCTGGTCAGGGCAAATGCTGGATTTTTAGCTCGATCCCCAGTAGGGGGCTTTCAGGAGACGGCCAATCAATGATTCTCTCTCATCATTGATATTTCTATAGTTCTCTCTCCCTTCCTCTCTGAAATCAATAAAAATATATATTTTTTAAAAGCAATGCACGGAAAGAATTCCCTTCTCTTCACTAGGTAAAGAATAGGCAGAACAGATGGATTATATGTGTCCTGCTTCTAAAACAGTTAACCTATTATTTTGTGGGATATTGTTGTCTTTGTGAGCAACTTGCGAGGAGCCAAACATTTTATCCTTGCATCTCATTGCCTGGCAGTGCGCATAGTGGGTGGTCAGCACATTCTATTGCCTAATTGAGATTCTAGATTCTCTCTTAAAAATTTTTTGCAGACAATCATAGAAAGGAGAGCCTGCGATTTAGCATGCAGTATTTGGAATAGGGACTTGTTTTTACTCTGGGGTCAGAAACTTGCACAGCTGAGTACTTTGGATAATGAAGGTTCGTTCCTTTTCTACATTTGCCCAGCCAGGGCTGGGCACAGGCAAATGTCATACAACTTGCACTTAAACACTCTTTTCTTTTCCTATTAATGGTATTTATGTTTCCTGGGGAACATCTGCAAGATTCCAAGAATTTGCTGTATGTGTGAATAGGCTTTTAACCAAAAAAAAGAGGCAGTTTTCACATGCAAGTTATTTCAGCAGTCAGTTCCTTTCCCAAAGCACAAAAGGCTAGATATTAAAACAAACACAAGAGAATGTGCTGTTTTAACAAATGGGTCCTTAGAGATGGACTTTAAAGCTTGGTTTTTGTTTTCTGATCTAACTTTTACCCTATCACTTTGTAACACTTAGAGAAATCCTGAAATAAATCAGTGACATTCTCACAGTTTTCAAGGCTGACAGTTTAATTTTTTTCCTGTTTTGTCTACTGCTGTGGCCAATGTAATTAGGTCATACTCATGTGAAAAGTTACTTGTACAAGAAAAAAAATTTGGATGTGTATGTGTATTTTCAGGAAGATTTGTTTCTGCTAATGTTCACAGCATCATTTGCACATGAAAATAATTCCTGTCTACATAATTTAAAATGTTAGTGTTGTTTTAAAAAGCACACAAAAAACCCTATTTCAAAAGGAAATAACTTTGTTACTAATTTCATATCATTGTTAGAATAATTATATTTTAAAATATTTTTAACAGCTAAACCACTGATTTTAAAACATTTGTTAATTAAGTAGACAGGGTGCCAACCTGAAAAGGGGTCATTTCAGCACAAAGGAGAGAAAGGCCTAATTTTTAACAGGATTCTAGAAATGGCAACAGAGATCTAATGCTAGCAGCCTACCTTGCAGGCTGTCCTCTAATTTAATTTGATATTAAAAGTTGGTTGTAATTCTTGTTTTGTGTATTTTCTAATAGACTTTTTCTATTTATACCAGCAGATGTAAATTTCAAGCTCACAAATATATTATTTACTTTCTTGCTTCTACACTCCTAGAAATGTTAGGAACTATGGGAGAATGACAACTCCACAATGTGAAGATCCTTAGTTGTGTTTTATGAAAAATCTTGGCATTAACTCTTTTTCTTCTTTAATAAGCTAAGTGTCTTGCTTTCATTTTTGTGAATTAAGAATTTAGTAACTCAAGCAATTCTTATTTGCTTCCAAAACTTAAATACCAGGATTAACAGACATAAGAGGCTCAATTTAGCATGTTTTATTGGCGAAATGTAAAGGTCAAAATTAACAAGCTTTATAGAGCTCCATTAGAAGTATACAGTAGAACCCTTGTAGAAATCATGAAGGAAAGCAGTGTAGGCACTGTTGGGAACACAGATGCAAAATTTGAGTTGCTATCTCTGATGGAAGCAGAGCAATTGTTAAAAATTTGACTGGATTGCAAAATAATTTAAAGGGCCAGTAGATCTTTAAGAATGTACAAGATAGCTTTATTGTTCTTATGTAACACTAGAGGCCCAGTGCATGAAATTTGTGCACGAAGTGGCGGGGGGGTGGGGGTCCCCTCAGCCCAGCCTACACCCTCTCCAATCCAGGACCCCTCGGGGGATGTCTGACTGCCTCTCATGATCCAGGACCGCTGGCTCCTAACCGCTCGCCTGCCTGATCGCCCCTAACTGCTCCCCTGATGGCCTGATTATCCCTAACCGCCTCTGCCTCGCCCCACACCCGGGACCCAGGATTCCCTCCTCTGGCTGGTCACAGGCACCCGGGACCCGGGCTTCCCTCCCTCTGGCCAGCCGCAGGCACCCAGGACCTGGGCCGGTTTCACCCAGGCTGGCCATAGCTGCAGATGCCCAGGACCGCAGGGCGGGCAGCTTGTTCCTCTCCTGGGCCACAGGTACAGACACAGATGCTGGCACCCGGGACTATGGGGCGTGCGGATTGTCCCTCTCCCAGGCTGCAGGCGCAGGCACAAGCTCAGCCACTGGCGCCTGGGACCATGGGGTGGGCAGCTTGTCCCTCTCCCAGGCCTCAGCCTGGCTGGTCCCCATTCCTCTCTCTCGTGAGCTCATTTGTGCCTGGCTGGTCCCCATTTCTCTCTCCCCAGTGTTAAATGTCTGAGCCTTTATGGCTTGACAGCATGAGGGCATGGTGGTCATTTGCATATTAGCTCTTTATTATATAGGATTTACTGAGAAGCAAGGCATGCTAAATATGAAGTAATCCACAGAATTCCTCTGAGTCCCTACCCAGTGATTCTGTTTCCAAATGAGATAAGTAGGTGAGATATATAGACAAAATGAGAAGGCTTCATTAGTGCTGCCCTTACAGAAGCCTACAAGGTGGTGGGAGCTCACTTCAACCACTTTGCTAAGAGAAAAAAAATGAACATAAGTGAAATCTGGGAAAAGATAGTAATTTTTTGGAAGATAACAGGTTTGCTTTCTGAAGCAAAATGGACATAGCTAATCAGGTGTACTTCTGCAATTCTGTTTTGTATACTTCAGAGTTACTCATGTTTTAACCAAGAAAAAACATGATTTTTTAGTGAAGGAGCAGTTTTCCCAAATGACATGAAATAACATTTTTTATGACATTCAGAAATTTACAGTGGCCTCTCGCTAGACCTCTAACATTGTTCTGTAATCCCAGCTTTGGGTAGAGCTTGGAAAACATTTGTAGAAAATCGCTGTGCTTACAACCATGTTTATTCTTCAGCTGTGGTAGCAGGACTTCTTTTAACGTGCCCGTTTTCTTTTCTTTTGCAGGGACTTTACGTTTTTGTGGTCTATTTCATTCTTCACAACCAGACTTGTTGCCCCATGAAGGCCAGCTACACAGTGGAAATGAACGGACACCCAGGACCCAGCACAGCCTTCTTCACACCCGGGAGTGGAATGCCTCCTTCTGGAGGGGAAATCAGCAAGTCCACCCAGAATCTAATCAGTGCTATGGAGGAGGTCCTGCCCTTGACCTTGACTTGACCTCTAGCTCTCTGTTTCTTTCCCATATACGGCCTTTCCATCTCAAAAAGTGTACACATTAAATGGTGTTATGTAACTTTTAAAATCCCTTTCCTACATGCTGACCAACTGTAGTATTATGCATGTTATTGAATTAATTTTCTTCCCTGCCCTGCAACCTATACTAACCAGCAGTTTGTTCTAGGAACTCAGACACTGCATATTTTGTCATCTTTTTCTTCAAACTCTCCCAAATTTGACATGGTGGTGTCTAAACCAGCTTCAGCCGTGTGGGTGTTTTTTTTTCTGTTTTAACTATTTTTCCTCAAAATACTTACACAGCTCTCTTCCTTCACCCATCCCAATTCACTACTTCAGTCCCATCAAACACAAAGTGAAAATAGGCTGAAACTCTTTTTAATTTAAATACCAGAAAATATTTTAGAACAAAGGCTAGGAAGAGTGCTTTAGCAGCACTACTTAGAAAGTCTATCCAGGATGTCCTCTGTAAAGTCTACTTCCCATTGCTCTCTGCATTATGTCCACATTGCATTGGTTTCCTGTGTCTAAATCAACAACCTGTTAGTAATGCTGCCATAGCACTGGGACGACTGCTCAGGCTTTAAATTATACCTAAAGACATTTGTCCAGAAAGAGATGGTATGCAGTCCCTAAGAATTTCTGCATTGCCCAAGATGTGCTTGTCTCCCATTCCTTACATAGCTCATACTGCCCTGTCTGTATTAAAGAGCCAAGGAGAACAGTACTCGTGTTTATTTGCATCCTGAAAAAATGGTAGGAAATCAACGTGCATGTATCTGAAAAAGAAACAGTTGATAGATATGTAGGTAAGTAGAAAGATAGAAGACAGATGATAGATAGATAGATAGATAGATAGATAGATAGATAATCTATAATAATAAAAGCATAATATGCTAATTAGACTGGATGACCTTCCGGACAAAGCCGGGGCTGCCGGGGCTGCGAGGGGAGCCCGGGTCCTGGGTGCCAGAGGGAAGCCAGTGCTGGCAGCAGGGGAAGGAAGGCCTACTCTTGCATGAATTTCATGCATTAGGCCTCTAGTAGATAGATAATCTACCTATTCAGTGATATTTTTTTCTCTTCCATGTAAATATAGAAAGTAATTTTACCCATGCCAGGTTAAAATTAAGATACAGTATTTAAAATGTTCAAAAATCAAGTACAGTATTTAAAAATTGGAATATGTCTTTAGTACCATAAATGTTTAGAAATCTAGTACCATATCTATATCCCAAAAGTTTTAAAAACTGAATTATTTTCACATCAAAGTTGATAACAATGGGAATGGATATTTTTAGGATCAGTAATTCAGGAATGAATTTTAAAAAAGGTTTTTGTCTTTTTTATTGATTACCCATGCTAGATTTGAACCGTACAGTGCAATAACCATTATCATGTGTGGCTATTTAAATTTAAACTAAAACAAAATAATATTAAAAATTTAGTTCATCAGTCACTATGTTCAAGTGCTCTGAGAGCTACCATGGTGAAGAATGCAGATAGCAAACATTTGAATCATCACAGAAAGTTCTGTTGAACCGTGCTGATCTAGACGTTCAACTTCTTAACAAAATTTTTGAAGATTTTTGTCTTCTCTCAAATTTGTTTCTACAGTCCTCTGGTCATGCGACATCCCTGCAGTCGCTCAGAAAAGCTTACATTGGGAGACAGCAGCTGTGACAGTTCAATTCCTGGGCCTGAGCCACTACTCGAGTGTTCATTCTGGGTTTGCACAGTGGCATACCCTAACGTGTGCTCTACATTCCTCAGAGGCTTAGGATTGGCCTTGATCCAGCTGTCAACAAGGGACTGTCAGAGACATTCTAGAAAGCCTTCCAGAGAAGGGAAAGCATGAGGAAAGGAAGGATTAAGGGGGTTTTACCAGTAACCGCAAGGGAAGTGAATATGTTTAATTATTTCAGGATAGAACTATCTTTACTTTTTTAATATGGGTTTTTTTTTTCTTTTTCTATTAATCTTATATCTAGCCACTCAACAGTTTCTGATTCACTTTATTTAATTTTTATTTTTAAAATATGTTTTTGTTGATCTTTAGAGAGAGAGAGAGAGGAAGTGAGAGGGATAGAAAGATAGAAACATCGATGAGAGAGAAACATGGATCTGCTGCCTCCTGCATGCCCCCTACTGGGGATCAAGCCCACAACCCAGCCATGTGCCCTGTCAGGGGATCAAACCTCTTAGTTCGTAGGTTGATGCTCAACAACTGAGCCACACTGGCTGGGCTCAGGATAGAACTATCTTTTTAATTGTTTATTTATTTTTTTTATATAGTTGATTGATTTTTTACAGAGAGAAAAGGAGAGGGATAGAGAGTTAGAAACATCCATGAGAGAGAAACATCAATCAGCTGCCTCCTGCATACCCCCCACTGGGGATGTGTCCGCAACCAAGGTACGTGCCCTTGACCAGAACCAAACCTGGGAACCTTCTGTCTGCAGGCCCACGTCCTATCCACTGAGCCAAACCAGTTAGGGCAATTGCTTAATTTTTTAAGAGGAGGAGTTTAGAATACTATCAAAGAACTCTTTTTTTTCAATTCAGTATGTCCTTACAGATAGCTGCTATATTTAAAATTGTATTTGTATCTTAGATTAAGCATTAGGAGGGTTCCTCTCCAGTTCTTATATTTTTAACAATTTTCTTTGCACAATACATTTTTTTTAAATAAAAAGTATTGATTGGGTTAAAAGATACTTTTCTTGCCCCACACATGACTGCATAGAAATCTACAAGTAATTCTAATAGAGAAATCATTTAGAATCACCAGATTAGATTGTCTCACGGAGAAACATACTTCTTTAAAAAACAATGGCACAATTAAAGGCCTCAATTCTAAACAGTCCAGAAGCCCTTTCACCTGGTTTGTGTAATGAGACGCAGAGGTAAATAGTTTACATACATTCAGAATAAATGTGTACGTGTTCATATTGTGCTTTCCTTCCCTCCCATCCCTCACAGGTGCCACCTGACTGGGAGAGGGGATCCTTCCAACAAGCCAGCCAGGCCAGTCCCGACTTAAAGCCAAGTCCACACAATGGCGCCACCTTCCCTTCCTCCGGGGCTTATGGCCAGGGCTCACTGATAGCCGATGAGGAGTCCCAGGAGTTTGATGACTTGATATTTGCATTAAAAACTGGTATGTGTGAGCCCACAACTACATTCGAAGTAGGCACTCTGGCTGTGCCACAATTTCTATCTTCTTCACATGAAGTTGCATCAGTACAGTCAGTCACCCTTAGCACAGCCTGATTCTCATGACCCATTCCTCACTTCAGCCTCACTCTGAGTTACTTTGTTCTTGACACCAAACGTAACATAACCTCAAAATCATTTACAATTTGCTTTTAAGAAAAAGGCGTGCTCTCACTAGATGTAAGTATCTCTGTCCTGGAATCATTCTAGAACACCAAGGCACTATTGAGACAAGTTCAGTGTCATAAGACAATCTGCTAGGGATTTCACTGAGAGATTTGCCTCTGATCTGCCAAAGAGACCTTCTTAGGAGTAGCTTTAAAGCAGAAACTTTCAAAGGCAGCACCGTTTTCAAAGTGCTGTTACACACAGTATTTTATTGGCTCTTCCTATAAATTCAACCCCACCCAACCTGTAACCCAATGGAAAGTTGTTTTCAAATAAAATGTAAAGGGGTTTTTTTTTCTTTCATCTTTTTACTCAGAAAAATGTTGAACTGACACTTAAAAAATTTCAGTGAAATTTTGATTTCTAGATGCAAGAAGATAAAAAGAGGAGGTTTTTTAAATAATAGTTCATACTCAGATGAAACTATTTAAATAATAATTCAAAAGTCCATTTTACTATATATAAACATCCATATATTCAGAATAATGCTTGGCTCTTAGTAAGCCTTTTGTAGATATTGTTGGAGAATGAATGAATGAATGAGTGAGTGAATGAATATGAAGCTTGGAGTTTGTTTGGAGGAATAGACATTCACATAGTCATGACATAAGGAAGAGTAATATAAGTAGTGGAAAGAGTTATTAATTGAGGGAATCGAGGAAATTTTTTTAAACCTCTCTTAATTGATTCTTGAAGAATGTGTAGGTTTGAAATAAGAGTGGAGGAAAGGCAGTACAGATGGGGAGCAGAATTAGACAAAGCCTAGGGCTTACACGTGCATGCCCTGCTTGAGGAGAACAAGCATTGCAGAGTGGCCGGGACGTAGGAGCAGCAGAGCCAGGCCGTGGGAGAAAGGCCGGAGAGGTAGTTGGCCTGCATTGTTAAAAATGTACTGTAGTTCCCCCTTCTGGGTTTCAGGTAACACCCTCCTTGAGATGTTCACAGTCATCCTCAGTGAGAGGGTCACCTGGCTGATTAGACTTGGGAAACTGTGGCGACTGGCAATTCATATTACCATTTTAGCAGCTCTGAAAAAGCCCTCACTCAAAGATAACCTGCTTCACTCAATTTAACCTGGTGTTTCCAGAACACAAGTAGTGATATATTCATTTGGGGAAGCAGAACACTTCCTGGTATTTTGCATAATATTAAAATGCTGGTCAGATGCCATGCTAACGAGGGGGATTTTTAAAAAATCTTTATTGTTGAAAGTATTACATAGGACTCCAACCCCCCTTTTTTTAAAGGGCTTAGTGAGCCATGGATGTTTGTGAGGAGAGGAATGGCATGTTCCTACTGGTTTTTGAGGCAAAAATAACTCTTAGGAAAGATAAAGAATAAATTTAGAAGCAAAATCAAAAAGGCTGGGAGGTTGTTACAACTGTCCAAAAGAATGAGGTTGGGGGCTCAGATTTGAAGAGTGGAACTAAAAAGAGAAGGTGAACAGAGGAGGAAGGCTGAGGGGCACTGAGAGGACAGCAGCAAAGGCCTGCTGCGCACAGGGCCACTGAGGGATTATGTAAGGGGCATCTGTTCGTTTATCTGTGCGAAGCAGGACACGGATGAGTTCTGATTTGGACACATTGATTATGAGGCCTGGTAGTCTTAAATATTCAGGTTTAGAGGCTCCTGGGTGAGGGTTCATGGTCAAAGGTATTGATTTGGAATGCATCTGTGCAGAGATTATATTTGAAGCTAAGGGGATTGATAAGACTGATCAGGGAGAGTGGAAGGGGAGAGATGAGAAGAAAAAAGGTGAAGAAGGAAGGGAAGAAGGGAAACGAGAAGAACATCCTAGATAATATCTACATTTAAAGAGTGTACAGAAGAGGGTCCCAGAGAAGGAACTGTATAGCATGGTGAGAAAGATCTCGAGAGAGAAGACTGAGTTCAGTGAAGGTGGGAATGCACAGATATATACAATGCTGATTGGTATTAGGACTAAAAAGGAGGCTTTCAGATTACATATAATTCCCAGTACTACACAGTGGTCAGTTGTTGAGGTTATAACACTGGGAGCATAAAATGAATTCTTGGAGCACAATTCAATTAGATGTGGGTCCTGTATATACAACAAGTATTAAATGCATTTAGCTCGGGAATGTATGGAATGACTTCCTTACTTATAGAGTTTCCTATTCCTGAGAGTTTGCTACACTTGCTAGGAAATAAATACTTCAAAAGGCCAAAATAATAGTCTCTCACATTGGCTCCCTCTACTTTTAGAAAAGTTACTATAAAAATCCAGCACCACCCCCTAGACACTTTCCGTCGCAGAATGTGGTCAAATGAGAGGAACAGTCCACATGCCGTTCTATCTGCAGCAGAATTTACAATTGACGCACGGGCCAGATTTGGCCCAGCAGGGTATTTTGTTTGACCCCCTAGCATTTTAGCATTGTTTTAGCATTTTTAAATCCCATAAAAATTCAGAATGTCTTTTTTAAAAAATCTAGCCCTGGACGGTGTAGTACAGTGGTTAGAGCAGGGGGGTCCTCAAACTTTTTAAACAAGGGGCCAGTTCACTGTCCCTCAGACCGTTGGAGGGCCGGACTATAGTTTAAAAAAAAACTATGAACAAATTCCTATGCACACTGCACATATCTTATTTTGAAGTAAAAAAAACAAAATGGGAACAAATACAATATTTGTATTTGCATGTGGCCTGCGGGCCGTAGTTTGAAGACCCCTGGGTTAGAGTGTTGGCCTGCACACTAAAGGATCACAGCACCAGTTCAATTCCCAGTCAAGGGCAGGTGCCTAGATTGCAGTTTTGATACCAGGCCCCAGTCGGGGTGCATGCAGGAGGCAACCAATCGACATGCCTTTCTTGCATCAAGGTTTCTCTCGCTCTCTCTGTGTGTCTCTCTCTCTTTTCCCCTCCCTCCCTTCCTTTCACTCTCTCTAGAAATCAATAGAAAAAGTATCCTCAGGTGAGGATTCACACACACACACACACACACACACACACACACACACACAAATCTAGCAGCAAAGTGATTGGAGTTGAGTAATAATTGCCTCTTGAGATGGAACTCCAGCTCTTCAGTTTATCCAGTGCTCACCAGACCTGTGTTACTGATTTATACTAGCTTCCCTGTCCTCTGTGACATTTTAATTTGCAAATCTTAATCTGTCTCAGGTCCACCTTATCTATGGGTCTCTCCAAGTCAAGTGGGTCTTCTAATTATTTTTCATTTGAACCCCTAAATGACTGAAAAGTTATGTAACCCTTTGCATATATTTCAATAAACAGCTAAAGATTTTCATCCTAAGTGTAAATAGTGCCAAATAATGTAATTTCCACTGTATTATAAATTTCAGTTTTAAAATAAAAATTTTACGTTATTTTATTAAACTAACTCAAAGAGTTTAAATTCCATAGCAATTTGATTCATTTCATTTTTAAAATATGTGAGCAGCCTTTTCTTTTACAAGTGGAAAATTTACATCATTCCTTTTTTCATTGTTACACATTTGATTTTATGGCTTACATATTATATGTAGAGCTAACATATACTAATAACTTATCTCCAAACCAGGGCAATTTGAGAGAATAAAGGGGAAGCAACTAATAATTTTTCAGGTATAAACTAGGACTTTTCAGTTGCATTCTCCAACTCCCTGTTTTGAAGGAGTCGCGAAAGAAGTACTAGTATTTGTGAAAGAGTATGGACATGGGTCTCGATGGATGGGCAGGAAGACACCCAGGCTGGAATTAACATGGCACATCCAGGATCACTTTGGAAAAGCTTTCCCGTGGGCAAAGGTTGAAATTTGTCTACTCAGTAGGCTAGAGCCAGGTTAGGAGGTATCTTACTGCCAATACAGAGGGTATCAGTCTTCATGCCGTTGGCCATCGGGACTAATGTTTGTTCTTGAGAAGGAAAGGGCAGTGGGATGATGAATACATCAGAGGAACAGGGTGGACAAAAGAAATGGAAGAGGCATTTTTAAGAGCGAGGATGCAGAACATAGTTTATTAATACATACAGCAAACATTTGACGAACACCCACGGTGTGCTGGGCACTGTCCTATGAGCTAGGAATATAAAGATATGAAAGTACATAATCCAATGGGGGAGTCAGAAATTTTGAAAGAGAATCATCATGTTTGCATGGTTAGCAGAGGTGATTCCTGAGTTGATAGTTACAGGAAGAGTGGAGGCTGACAGATTAAGGAGTTGGGGGATGAGAAAATCCCAGGCAGTGCCAGCATATTAACATGGTGTGAAAGGAGGTGACCAGCAGCTCTAGTGAGATACCAGGCTAGAGAGCAGGCAGGGCCTCAGGTGGATCTTGTAGGCCTTGAAGCAGGGCTGCAGATAAGTCCTCTGGGGATCAGACAGCAGAAGGAGGTGCAAGAGAAAGCAGACCTCCAGAGATCAGAGGGTGGGGTCGGCAAGTACAGTGTCACAGAAGCAAAGGAAGGAAGTGGGTGTCAACAGCAGCCTTCAGCAGAGAGAGGATGTGAAGGACAGAGACCCAGGAGAGGGAGGGTTTGACTAGAAGAAGGACCTTAATGGGCTCCTGCTTCCATCCCAAATAGGGTAAGACGAAGCTAATACCCCATCTTCCCATAGCTACCAGATCTTCAGATTAGCCTTTCCTACAGCTCAGACAGAAGGAAGTCTCAGCTCCCAGCAGCTGTTTTTTCACTTTCCTTCTCGTTTAAAGTCTAGTGCCCAACAAATTCAACCAGCAGCATGCCCTGTGACCACATCCCCATTCTCTCTGTGTGTGTGTGTGTGTGTGTGTGTGTGTGTGTGTGTGTGTGTGTGTGTGAGAGAGAGAGAGAGAGAGAGAGAGAGAGAGAGAGAGAGAGAGAGAGAGAGAATGAGAGTTTGTGAATTAGAGAAGAAAGAGGTGTTACTCTAGTATCGTGTTAAATTTTCTGAATTATTCTAAGTTGTGAAAAAATATGAATACTGGAGCTCCCTCAAAACAGATTCTGGGTACTATCTGTAATTAACAGCTAGCTTTTGGAGACTCTTGTGCAGGTCTGTTTTGGCACTGTGTTGCATAATTATTTTTATCTTGGGATCAGATCTGAGTCATTTGGAGTCCGAGTCTTCTGGGCGCTGATAAGGCACCAGGTGTTGTCAGTGCACGTCTTTCTTCTTGGATCACTGCCCACCCTGACTGAGTCCCAGCTGAAGGGCCTCGTACTTTTCAGTGCCTGTGGGGTTGGAGGTCATGTGGTTTTGAACAGCAAACCCTACCCCCACCCCTGCTGAAAAATTCTGATAACCTGCCTGATTTTTTTTATTTTAATAAGCCCCAGAAAGTTGAGAAAGGCTGTTCTTGAGAGTAAGTTATACCTGTCAATCATTGAGAACCCCGACTTGTGCCTTTAGAAATTAATTTACTTATAAAACTACCAAAAGGAATTTAAAGTATATATTTATAGTTGTCAGTTATTAAAAAATATTTATTCTAAGTGTACAGTTCACTCTTTACTAATCTATAATAATAAAAAGTGTAATATGCTAATTAGACCAGATAGCCAAATGACCTTCCAGACGTCATTCTGGATGAAGCCACTGTGGTGGGGGCCAAGGCAAAGGCAGTTAGGGACAATCAGGCAGGCAGGCGAGCAGTTAGGGGTGACCAAGCAGGACGGCAAGTGGTTAGGAGCAATCAAGCAGGCAGGCAGAGTGGTTAGGGGCAATCAGGCAGGCAGGCAGGCAAGTGGTTAGGAGTCAGCAATCCCAGATTGTGAGAGGGATGTCCAACTGCCAGTTTAGGCAGTCGGACATCCCCCAAGGGGTCCTGGATTGCGAGAGGGTGCAGGCCGGGCTGAGGGACCCTATCCCCCGCACCTCCATGCATGAATTTTGTGCACTGAGCCTCCAGTATAATATAAATAAACATGTTGACTTAATGTAACTTGACCCTTAATTCACTGCACTAACAGTTGGGAATTTTTGTGTTTATTCTTTTTCTATTGCAGGTGCTGGTCTCAGTGTCAGTGATAATGAATCTGGTCAAGGCAGCCAGGAGGGAGGCACCTTGACTGACTCCCAGATTGTAGAACTCAGGAGGATACCTATTGCTGACACCCATCTCTAGCGGCACAGTAACCATTAGAATGAGGATACTCTCATCTTTGTATTGGCTTTGTGCTAAAACTCTATAAGTACATGCAGCCATATAAATAGGAAACTGTGAAATTAGTAACCCAGAAGTGATTGTTGTGTTGGAATATAAATTACTTGTGTCTTTGTGCAACCTGAAAATTCATTGCTATAATGAAAGACCGGATTGAGTTATATCAGTTAATAGAATGTACATATTCCAAGAATATTAGTTGTTTGTAATCATCATACATGGCTAACATTGTTTAATAACAGTAATAACAATCAATAAAAACAATAGAATCCATTTGGCATCCCCGAGGTTCATTATTTATGAGGAAATGTTGGGCATGAGCAAAGCAACAAGCTCCATGTCTAGGTGATGTTAAGTGCCCTATTGCTTCCAGTGTTGATGCAGGTGATCCAGATTCAAGGCTTCACAGCACCTAGAAGACTTTCATTCCTAAAAACCACACAATTTCTTTTCTGCTGACAGGGTTACTGCAGTTTTCATAGTCTTTCATTGAAAGTATGTATTTCTGCTCATTACAAAATTAGGGAACTGAACTTTTTCCAAAATGAATGTTCTGTTCCCAGTTAAAAATAACTCCAGCAAGCATTTTAGCACAGTGATGAAGAGGATCATTCAAACAGTACAGTTTGTTTGGGAGAAATGTTTCTTGGTTTGGATTTTTAGTCTTTCCTTTCTTGGAATGAGAAATCAGAAAGCCTGTCCCAGAACAAACACTATTGTGTTCGTGATGATTTCATTGACTATGGTTCCAGAACAGTCATTAGGAACAGAACAAGTCTGTCCTAAGGAAGCCTTTTTGACCTTTGGAATTGCTAAGTAATTTTGAGAGAATCAGTATCATTCCAAGAAAAAATTAAAATTAATAAAATTTTATGTAAGAGAACATTTTTATCTGTTAATTACTTCCCTTAGAGCCATAATTAAAACATCTTAAGTGCTTTGTTAGTGCTGTTAAACATGGCTTTATTTTTTGAAAAACCTGATGGCAATATTTGTCTTGATAAATTATAAAATGACTCCTCTCTTGCTCCTGTCAGTCCTCCCCCACTCCCATTTCCTCCCTCTTATACTGAGTTTTGATCAGTGGATTGTCATTGTTAGAAAATGAAAGCTGCATAGCAGAATTAAACAGCATAAAAAGCAAAGGCTATAGTATTGGTGGAGTTATCACCTTTTTTACAAACTTTAGAAATGGCGGTAATAAGATTGGATTTACCTGAAGTGACAAGTTAGTTGTCCCTTTCAACCTACAGTATTGCACTGTAGTCTCTCCCATGATAGGATAGAGGCAATAGATTAAATTGGTTACAATATATAAAAGTTAATATGAAAATTTTGAAATTAAGTAAGCATTCTAAAATTATTAATAGGTTTTAGTGAATTGGGGGCTTAGGTATTAATTACAGAAATGTGAGATTTCATCATGTGGAATCCATGCTCATAAGCACTGTAACATTTTTTTGCAGATAACTAGATGTCTCATTCTCTTACAAAGGCAGTGGTCAATAGCTATTTTCATTTCTACATGTTTTCAGAATTTGGGGAAATCTGGCCAAAAATGTGACCAATCTGGGACACCTTTCTTACTTCAGTTACTGGATTTCCATTGCTGTCCAAAAGGCCATCTTGATAAGAAATCAGCAGGACCACCTGCCGCTGTTCAGCAGGGTTCTTTTAAATATTGGAAGGAAAAAACAAGATTTCTAGAAGCCACAGTGCTAAAACAAATAAGCTTCATATTCCAACAGCAGCAATATTTTGCCAGTCTGTTTCCTCCCAATGTAGATTAAAATGGGACAGCTGCCAGGGAAGCGCAGTCCTGCGGAGGAAGAAGCAAATCAAACCCAGTTCTTAAAAATGAAAACTGGACGGCTGGGACTATAGCACTTTGGCTGTGGTTTTTCTCTTTCAGGAGGTTTGATCCTTTTTTTCCTCCTTGACATTTTGTAAACAGCTTTATCAAGATATAATTCACATTCCATGTAACTCACTCATTTAAAGTGTGCAATTCAAAAATATTTGCCACATTACATTACGGGGTTTTTAATTGTGGTAACATATATGTAACCCAAAATTTTCCATTTTAACCACTTTAAATATAATTTTAAAATTCAGTGGCATTAATTACACTCACAGTGATATGCAAACATTGCTTCTATGTCCAAAACATTTTTATCACCCCAAGCAGAAACTCTGTTCCCCATCTCTGTACTCTCTATATTCCTCTGTCAATAGACAACTGACATTTCTTTGGGCAATGTCTCTGCTGTATTTTTGTGATTCTTTAATTTGTGTTTTGTTTTGTTTTGGGTTTCTTTCAGCTTTTTTTTTTTTTAATATTTTTAATGAGACTTTCCTCATTTGGATGAAAGTGCAACAGGTATGCAGTTGGGGTACAGGGTAGCAGTAGAGCTGGTGGAATTCCTATTAATAAGATGGGAGACCAAGCAAATGAAAATCTTACTAAGCAAAACACAGACAGAATTTTACTGGGGAACTTCAGTTTTGAGTTGGTTTTCAATCTTTTGAGGTGTTTTAGGGTTTAATCGATATTTTCCATGTCTCCCTCCCAAATATGATCAGAGAAGTTTAAATATGTAATGGAGGTATCACTGTAAAAAGGAAGTGCTATTCAAGGACACCGCTTCCAGCCCTTGCTGGTTTGGCTCAGTGGATATAGTGCTGGACTGTGGACTGGAAGGTCTCAGGTTCAGGGCACATGCTCAGGTTGTGGACTTGGTCCCCAGTAGGGGGTGTGTAGGAGGCAGCCGGTCAATGATTTCTATCTCCCTCTCCCTTCCTCTCTGAAATCAATAAAAATGTATTAAGACACACACACACACACACACACACACAGCTTCCAAACAATTTCACTTTTTTTTCCCCCCAGACTAAGATCCTCCCCGAGTTTAGCCTTAAGGCCTCTGGGTGGATCTGTGTAAGGGTAGATCTCAATCAGATAAGTAAATGGTGCTGACTCTTTCAAAGCAGTTGGTTGCCAGAGTGGATCTCATCTAAGTAGCCTGAGCTGGGTAGGAACGGGGAAGGCATCAAGGGCATTCCAATGTTTCCTGTAGCCTTTGTTTATAACCCCCCTTTTTCCCCCTATTGACCCCTTCTAGCCTGTGCTGTAGCCTTTTAATTGTTAATGGCACGAACCCAGTCTCCCCACTGCTTCTCTACTAGAATACAAGCAGAAGGGCCACACTGTCCACAGGAACATTTAAAGAATGGACAAAGTGACTAAGACTCAGAACTCTTCCATTACCTTCCATCTTTTCGGGTCTTTTGTCTGACTAGAGAAATAAAGTGCAAGTTTAACAAGGAATGTAGTCAAAACAATCCAGATGTTCACTTAATCTTCAGTATCAATTTATGATTAATAAACATATTTGACGTCAGTAAATTAGTTGGTTTCAGGAAAAGAAGCAAATGGAGAAAAAAAAGTTGTTTTCCTTCATTTATGACACTGAGGTGTACCATGGTCCTTAGTGAATTACAGATGCTTCAGTTCAGTTCCCAGCCGGGACCCCGCTGAGGACGCAGCAGCTGGTCTCACAGCTTTGTGCTGAAGCCCCTAAAAATGACTCAGCTCAAGGAAGTTGTTAGCACTTTGAGTACATGAAATAGTATTTTAGTCCTGTGAAATAATGTGAGTAATCACTTTCCTAATAAATAAAAGGAGGCAAATTTAAGCAGGGCAAACTATACTTTTTGCCTTTAACAATCCTTTTAGAATTTATGAGCAAAATCACAAATTCAAGTTTTTAAACTTTAGGAATGCACTGATAGCATTTGTAGGGAAATCAAGAAAAATCATGATAATAATAACAATTGCTATTACAGTTTACAGTGCATTGATTAAAAGATATTTTTTAAAGCTGATTCATGAAGTGTATGAAACTGCCCATCATCCTACTCCATTGTCTCATTGTGTGTGTGTGTGATATATATAGTGTAATATATATATATTTGAAGACTTTTGCCACATTATAGGAAGGAAGTATAATCATTTAGTAAAAGACTTGAAAGAATAGGTGAAACCACTAAAACAAATTGGAAAGGTGCTCAAAAACTGTCAGGGGCGTTATGGTATCATATAATAATTGGTGGTTTCCTCTTTTTAAATATTATCTTAATCTTCGAGGTTCATCCATGTGGTCACATATTGCATAATTTTCTTCTTTTTTTAAGCTGACTAGCATCCCATTGCATGTATATGCCACATTTTCTTTAGTTGTTCATCTGTTCATGGGCATTTGGATTGTTTGAATAATGTTGCAATGAACTTGGGCGTGCAGGTGTCTCTTCTAGCTCATGATTTTAATTATTTTGGATAAATACCAAGAAGTGATATTGCTGAATCATATGGTAGTTCTATTTTTAATATTTGAAGAACCTCCCTGATGTTTTCCATAGCAGCTGCACTTACTTTGCATTTGGACCAATCGTGTACAAGGGTTCCCATTTCTCTACATCATCACCAACACTTGCTATCTTTTGATTTTTTTATCATAGCCATCCTGACAGGTGTGAGGTGATATCTTGTGGTTTCCATTTGCATTTCCCTGATGTCTAGTGACATTGAGCATTTTTAAATACCTGTTGGCCATTTGTATGCCTTCTTTGGAGAAATGTCTGTTTAAGTCCTTGGCCTTTTTTTAAAAAATTGGGTTATTAGGGGGTTTTGCTATAGAGAAGTAGGAGTTCCTTATATTTTGGAGATTGACTTCTCATCAGATAAATTGTTTGCAAATATTTTCTCCCATTCCATTCGTCAACTTTTCACTCTCTTTATAAGTGAAATAAACCAATGACAGAAAGACAAATACTACATGGTTCCATGATCTGTGAGATATCTAAAATAGTCAAATTCCTAGAATCAAAAAATAGAATGGTGGGGCTGAGGGAAGGGAGAAATGGGGAGTTACTCATCAATGGACATAAGATGAATAAGCTCTAGAGATCTGCTGTCTAACCTTGTAGCTATAGGCAACAATGCTCTATTATACACTTAAGATTTTGTTCTTACTACCATAAAATTTAAAAATTTCATTTGCCAGCAGGCTGCTTGTCCACTGTTCTTCACTACAAGTGCTGGCATTGCATGGAGAAAGAACTCTCTCCCAAAGACGGTGGAAAACTTATTTTCCAGGTAAGGCTGAGAGAGATTGTGGACTTAACCCTTTGGTTACAAGATATTCATGTATATGTAATTTTCCACACAAAGCCCTTATGACTAACAGGTCATGGAAAAATAATGAAATATGTAAATATCACCTCTTGTTATTTATTTACTTTCTGTGTGATCTTCCCCATTGCCCAGTAATCCATTAAAAAATCACCTTAACTTGACTGTTATATAGATGACTGCTAGAATGAAAATAAGTTTTTCATAGGTCATCAGTGGTTTGGAGACTCCTTGGATAACTGGGGAGCAGAATGAATTACAGATATAATTTAACAAATTATAGCTTTGAAAATGAAGTCTGTTAGGTAACAAAGATATGGCATCTAATTCATTCAATAATTGCTATCAATTTGGATTTTTAAAGTCAAAACATCTGTAACTAAATCTATAAAAGATCAAGAAAAAGTATGCTCTAATTTAGCTAGTAAGATAAAGATAATTTTTTATCAGTTCAACAAATATTTGGGGGCATGAGTTTTGTTCCAGCCATTGTGCTAGGTGCTTAGGGTGCCAAAACCAATAAAACATAGTCCCCACTCTTCATAAGCTTACAGTCTAGTGCAGGTTTCTCAACTGGGTTCTGCCGATGTCTTTAGGGCTTCTGTAAGAGGTTACTAGGAGTTCCAGCAAAGATTGAAAAACATTTTTAAATTGTTTGAACTTAATTCCCCATGCAATGCCAGC